TCGTAACGATTTGTATCGACTTGTATCGACGATTTGTATCGACTTGTATCGACTTGTAACGATTTGTATCGACTTTTTTGTATCGTAACGAAATCAGTCATGCGACACTTGTCGCCCCACACGCCAAGTGTAGCATGATTTCGTAACGAAATCACTCGATTGCAGTAGCTGATTTCGTCACGAAATCACTCGCAGTAGTTGATTTCGTAACGAAATACTTTGTAGACTTGATTTCGTAACGAAATCACTTTGTAGACTTGATTTCGTTACGAAATCAGTCACACTTGGCGCCCCACCACGCCAAGTGTAGCATGATTTCGTAACGAAATATCATTCGATTGCAGTAGCTGATTTCGTAACGAAATCAAGTCATGCTACACTTGGCGCGCCGGCGCGCAAGTGTCGCATGATTTTCGTAACGAAATAAACTCGCAGTAGCTGATTTCGTCATGAAATGACTCGCAGTAGCTGATTTCGTCACGAATCACTCTCAGTAGTTGATTTCGTAACGAAATCACTTTGTAGACTTGATTTTCGTTACGAAATCAATAATTCTGTAACGAAATCAAGTCATGCGATTTTCTTTTGGCGCCGGCGCGCCAAGTGTAGCAAGATTTCGTAACGAAATGACCCGCAGTAGCTGATTTCGTAACGAAATAACTCGCAGTAATTGATTTCGTAACGAAATGACTCGCAGTAATTGATTTCGTAACGAAATTACTTTGTAGACTTGACATTTCGTAACGAAATTACTTTGTAGACTTGATTTCGTAACGAAATCACTTTGTATACTTGATTCATTACGAAATCAATGATTTCGTAACGAAATCAGTCATGCAACACTTGGCGCCCCATACATAGCACTTGTACTTTTGAGAGCCTCTGGCTCCCTCCTTCTCCGTGCCCCATTGAAAGTCTGTCTTGCATACCATGCAATAGCCCTGATTAACACTGAATTGTACTGTAGGCTATACAGTTATACACACATTTAAACAAGAGCCGCAGAGCGTCTGGGCTCATGCTGAGGTCTGTTGCTACGATTATAAACGTAAAATTTCAGTCGGTGCGTAGTACCACATTTGTTAGGCGCAGATATGCAGACACGCAGTTGCGTACACATCATTGTTAGGACACGACGCCCCACTATCGCAGATGGAGGGTAGGGGGAGGGTGGGGAGGGGTGGGGAGGGGGGAAAGGGCGGGAGGGTGGGGGAGGTGGGAAGGGGGAGGGTGGGGGAGGGGGCTCTAATAGCAAAAGCAGTTCACTCTTTTGTTAACAGTCCAACAAATCATGTTAACCCTGCTCTTGAGGTCAAAAGGTATCCGACACTTACTCTTCGCATGTCAGCAGAAGGGACATTTCATGGTCCTTTCAATAAGCCATAAAAATGCATAGTCACCGCTGAAACAAAAAAGTTTTTCAATCGGCTCCGTCAGACCATGTCCTCAGAAAATGTCTAAAATCTGCCCTGTGCCCATTGACCTTTGACCTGTGACCTCCAATTTCGGCACAGTGATGGCTTTTCCTACCATGATCCTATACACGATCTATCACGAGCCTAGTCGAGCCGTTTAGATTTGTGCCGCAATTCTGCATTTCCTCCTATACCTTAACGTTAAGGAGTGAATGTTCCCCTTATTTTACACCTCTTGACCTTTGACCTTTGACCCCCAGCTTCGACATCCCAACTCGTTTTTCGATTACCCCCCCACGTCCCGAATATCGTGACCGTTACGTCGAGCGGTTAAAGATTTGTGCCCAATGTTGACGGACGCACGGACGGACGGGACGCACGGACGCACGGACGATCATGCGATTCTACAAGCTGCATCTGACTATGTCAGATGAGCTAAAAACTCATTTCTCATGCATTATGCTGAAATGAAACAATCACATTTCTTTCTTTTTTCTTCTTCTTCATTCTTTCTTTTTTTTCTCTTTTTTTGAATCTCAGGGGGGAATTTTGTACAGGCCATCCCCTCTTCAAGAGCGGGGGGATGCATTCCCCTCATCCCCCGGAATTTACGCCCCTGTGTATAATATATATATATATATATATAATATATATATATATATATATATCAAGAGCTAATAATACCTAGAGTGTCAACGAGAAAAACGGGAAAATAGTGCTATTTCACGGCTACATATTATTCTACTTTGCCTGCGAGTCTAGAATATTTCATGGTATTGCATTAAGCAGAATTCCTTGCTCTCTACAACAAGACCAACGCGCTTGTCAATACGATACTCCTAGGCGGAGATATCGGCTCCTAAACCTCCCCTCCCACATGCCTTGAGCCGCTTCGCATCCACTTTATTCAGCTACCTACACGCGTCTACGCATTGCTTCGTAAAAGTTCGGTTTTTCCGCGATAAACTTTATGAATGAACGGTGCGCTTCGGTTATTCATAGATGACTTTCGGGGGCATCGCCTATGCCCTTATCTTCCATTATCTTTCCTAGCACGGCTAATTCCCGTCATGGTGGAGCCGGCTCCATCAAGTTTTTAACAACGCAGGCTCAGTTACTATATGTGTAGTAACAGTACCAAATTTGCGGCATGTGACATCAATTATCAGCGCTCCAAGCGGTGACGGAAAACCGATAGCCAAAATGCTTAGACAGCGTGTAGGTTGCTGAATAAAGTGGATGCGAAGGCGGCGTAAAGCATGTGGGAGGGGAGGTTATAGGAGCCGATATCTCGCGCTAGGAGTATCGTATTGACAAGCCGTTGGTCTTGTTGTAGAGAGCAAGGGAATTCTGGCTTAATGCAATACCATGAAATTATTCTAAGACTCGCAGGCAAAGTAGAATAATGTAGTCGTGAAATAGCACAATTTTCCCGTTTTTCCGTTGTACACTCTAGGTATTATTAGCTTGTTAAATATATATATATATATATATATATATATACTATTATATATATCATATTTATATATATATATATATATATATATCGTGATGGATATAGATGGTAAAAACTAGAATCATCACACTAGCTTGGGTAACCGGCGTTGCCCGGGGAAAACTCTATAGGAACAACCTGTACAGCAAATTTTAACACATATATTTACTAAATTCTAAGGATACTCAAAATCATTGATTTCGTAACGAAATCAGTCATGCGACACTTGGCGCCCCCTATTGTTGTGTATGGACTACGCAGTGAGCAATCTTATGCTGCATGAGAAGGGGCGATGTAATGCCGATCAGAACACGTGGAAGAGAACTCTTTCTCAATACCTCCTCTCTGACGACATGCGCCTGCTTCTCAGTGACATGAACATTTTACCTGAAATGGGTGTGGAACCAATATTGATGGAAAATATCACTTACGGTTCAATTCTCGCACCCGAACACGACGTTGTCGCTTCACTGAGTTGTAAGTCATCCACTAACAGTAGCTGCGTGAAGGCGCTTGCTGCGAGACAGGTAAAGTTGGATGTCTGGAAGGTACCGGCGGTGTGTGATCGCATGTTGCCGAGAAACTCCAACCTGATGCGCCGTCTCGCAGATATCCACGCGCAATGCAAAATAGTAGACCCAATACAGCGTATGAGTATGGAGGATGTGCTGCTAGGCTATTCACGTGTGTTTATAAGCATGTATGGTGAACAGCAATTTCTACAAAAAACACAACGATACAAGGGCATATTGGCATATGACCGAATTAAAATAATAAATAGTAAAATAAATAAATAGTATTTACTAAGAGTTCATGCTATTCCTGTACAGGCGATTACGTATTTACTAAGTTCACCAATATATTTCTATACAGCCGTAGGATAATATAAAAACGAGTTAATACGTGTATTTTCTCCTGAATTTTAACGACATCCCCTCTGTTCGAATAACAAAGAAACGTCTGTTGCTAAGTCTCTAGGGACAAATCGTGCGTATATGCAGTAGGCCTACATGTCATTTAGGTGGGATTCGGGGAGATTTCTGTTGTCTAAAATCTATTCTCTTTCATGCGAACGGTACACTCAGTTCAGAGCATTTGGGACTACACTGCCACAGTGGTGAACCTGAATTTGATGCGGAAATACGGAAACAAATGATACCTCGAGTATATTAACTATCTTCAAGCTTTCTAGGGAAGTCTAATCATACGATAACAGGAATTAACTTGAGAAAATTTGCTCTCACAGCTAGGCTGCTGATTGGATGAAAATCGATCACAAAACTCAAATTTATACACATTTATTGTACATCACAGTATTTTATGCATATATGATGGTGGTCAACCACATATAAATAATATCTTGTGAAAAAACGACACGGTCTTGAATTCATTCTGCACAGCAACACGACACGCGAGCGTGGCGACTATCAAAACAAACGCATACAGGTGGATATATCAGTGAGTCATGATAATCTAAAGGTTACGAGAGGGTTTAGGATCTTGTAGGAAATTTGCTCGAATTTTTTATTCTCGTAACTTTACGATGTTTCTGTCAACGGTCTACGAGTCGAAGTTAATGTGAAGAATAATGTTAATACTATTTCTGTTTCTGACAACGGGCCCCTGTTTTCGCAAAACGAATTTCCATCAATTCTATGAAAGGGTCACGCCTATTATTGAAAAGCAGATTTGAAGAAGTGGCGGGGCGACACAACGTTCCCGCTGCACTCTCAGGTTCCGTCACCCCAGCTGCGCGTTCTTTACAGAAAACTTCGTGATCAGTGGTAGTCAACGTGAGCATACTCTCCCATATTTCAGTTTCACTATGTCTCAAGACATTTCCTTTCCTCTGGGCGTTTTTAGTGTAGCGAATAAGGCGCGTTTGTCTACCGCTTCCTGATAAGATCTAACCGAACAGGCGCATGCATGGCGAAGCGAACAGAGCTTAATTACCAGTGCCACGTTGCCCGGAGGCAGATTGTGAGGTTGAGTCGCTAGAAGCTGAACTGATTGATTCTGGACCGGTTTTAGAATAGTTAAGTATAGATTGCAGCGATCCTAGCACACATAACATCTGTACCAACTGCAGTATTTGTTGACCATTACTTCGTCGGGGCCAGTGGCCAGCGGCTGGCTGTGCGTGGAACACGATGGCACCGCACTGTCGCGCTCTCACCGAATTGTCCCGCTGTTTGAAGTCTAGATATGTCGTCACCATCTGCCTTTTCGGATGTTTCTTGGTTTACACGGGTATGTTTTTGCTTAGCTAGTTTCATTTAGTATAGCCCTTCATCGTAGAGTTCATGATAAAACTATATATAATCTTAATTGCGCGCACGTAACAAACGTTCTAATGGACGTAACAAACGGCGAGTTTAGTGTTATATATATATATATATATATATATATCACGGTGAATAAGAAATCCGTCACGACTCTTGCCTGACAAAGAAACGACAACAACGACGATGGCGGTGGCAGCAGCCACTAAAACAATAGCAGCCGCAATAGCGTCATGGGCAGGGGTGGCACCAGATATTTCCCGACACAGGGCGACACAGGTGTCGACGCGGAGGGGTTAAGGGCCATCTCCACCACCCTTGACCATAGTAGTACTAGACCAATAGTGGCAGCAGTAGTATCAAACCCACAGTAATAAGCCTCGTCTACACGACGAACTTAACTCGAGTTAGGCGATTATGTAGGCCGTGCTACACGAACAACACCGATAGGACTTATTAGATTTTATTATGCATGGCTGCGTGCCAGCTATGTAAACGTGCCGTCTGAGCGCGCGTGTCCCCGTGCTCACGTCATACGTGCGTGCGTCATGCGTAAACGTGCCGTGCGTGTGGCACGTACATGTGCTTGCATGCGTGCCGTCGCGTCATGTGCATCTGTGCACGATACACTGTGGGCGTGCGTGCGCGCGCTTGCAGCAGTAACACGTTCGTTCGTCGCGTGCGCTGCCGTCGTGACGTGTGAGCGTGTATCGACACGTGCGTGGACGCTGGGACGTGCGTGCGTGTGCAGCAGTACCACCGTGCTTGCATGCGTGAGTGCCAGTGCGCGCTGGCACGTATATGATGGTCCGTGCCTGCGTGCGTGCAGCGCCAGAGCGTGTGTCACAAATAACACCGCGTGCGCTCGCGTCGTGCACGTACACGTGACTGTGCGATGCGTCGCCCCGTCGCGTCCGCTGCTGTGTGGCACGTACCACGTAGCGCTGCGTCGCGTGCCGCTGCTGTGCTGCGCGCGTGCTGCATGATGCCACGTAGACGTGCGTGTGCACAATACACGTGGCGTACATCCCGTGTGCTGTGCGCTGCGTGGCTGTTACTAACACGTGCGTCGCATCGGTGCGCTCGTGCACGTACACCCTCGTGCATGCGTCGACGTGCCGCTGTGACACGTAGACATCGTGCGTCGCATGCCGGTGCGTGCGTGCATCGGCACGTACAGCGCTGCCGTGCCGCGTTGCAGGTACACAGTTCGTGCGCTGTGCTGGAGCGGCCCCGCATGTGCCATCTCCACAGTAGACGTGCGTGCGTGCGTGCGGCGTGCGTGTGCAGCCGTTAAACACATGCGTGGCATGCGTGACGTTCGTCGTGTGGTCACGTACAGCGTGCGTAGCGTGCGTGGCGTGCGTGCGTGCGTGTTGTCGGCGACGCGTGTGCAGCTCGACACGTTCCGATTGCGTGCGCGTGCGTGCTTGGTGCAAGAGCTAACCGTGTCGTCGCCTGTGTGCGTGCGTGCCATACATCGCGCACTGTCGTGAGCCAGCGGTACAACGTCGTTGTGCTGCGCTGCGTCGCATGGCATCGTGCCACGTAGCACCTCGCGTGCATCGAGTGCTGTGCGCTCGCGTGTGTTACGCTACATCCGTCACTAGTGTTGCCCCGCCTATCGTGGAGTTATGTTAAACTATTCCGCGCTAACCTACGGCGTTATATCGTCTACACGGGCCTTAGAACTTCCGAGTTCAACAGCGCCCAGTGTAGACGCTTAACTCGAGTTAAGGTTCGTCGTGTATACGAGGCTATAGACTTTTAAATGATATTATGCATAGTTTGAATTATTCTCGAGAATCACATATTTGCTAAAGTTCAGTCAGTTAGTCCTTTAGTCTTTCCACGATCTTACTATATCATAATTTCCTGCAGGTCACAAGCTAGACGTAATAACTGTCGTCGTACGAAATGAATCCGCAGGCCTACTGACCAGAGAAGTTCTGTCCTCGCTGAATGCCTCACTATCGACAGCTAAAGCAAAGCATCAGGTAAGCCAATCAAAAACTGTAACATACGACACATTTCAACGTCATATAAGGCAGATATATTATAAAAGTATTGTAAGTATTAAAATGGCTATAGTGTGGATCGCTATATAATATTATTTAACCTAGACGAGTTTGCCACAAATTTTATGCCCGTCCAACCTTTGCTTTTCCCGATAGTACAATATCTAATAAATCCATCCTAGCATAGCGGAGTAGCATAGCAACCGTAACTATAAAGGAACAGCTGAACATTAGATTAATTGTGTATGTAGAGTTTGCAAGCATGCGTCCGCTCAGGAGGAACACTGGAGAATCAGCCATGCTGCGAGCACGGACAGTTTGCTCTGCAAGGAATGCACGTCTGTCGAAAATGGCTCAATTGCCAGGAGTTAAGTGAACTTGAAGTGGAAAAATTTGGACAACCCAGGCGCGGTTACAAGGTATAATATAGATAGTTGACTTGTGCGTGTTTCCTGCCTGCGTGCGAGTAAGCTCAATGGCAATCCATTATTCTATCAAAAACTACTCTTTGAAAATTAAAAGTAGCTTAAGTAGCAAGTTGTGCAGAAAACCGCATTTCACGGTGAATTTTAGATATACAGACTATATTGAATAACGAGAACAGGTTTACACTTCCCCGTTGTTAACATGTCTATTCACCAACTTTTCGAAGGCTCTAAAAATAGCCGACTGGGTGTCAGGTCAAGATTCTACCCTTCATTGGGCAATATTGTAGGACTTGTATGGCGGCGGAATGCAGGGGTACGGAGGCGTGCTTTGTGCCGAGCTGCCGTATAATCGTCTTTCACGGATGAACTATATATACTTAATACTAACCACTTTGTCCAGGCGGCTGGCTCAGACTACTTAGTCAGAGATATAACGAGAGGTTGAGGAACAGTCGACGGAGGAACGTATGGATGAAATGAGGGAGGGGAGGAACGGGGGTAGAGCCGCGATAGTGAGAAACCGCGTTGTACTTGCATAAAGGTAAACGTTTCATCCTACACCTACACTAGGCATTTAAATCGTTTATACTTAACCCTTGGAAACCTAAGACATCTCAAAGATGGTGAAACGCATATAGTCACATAAACAACTAGAGCACTCGGAGAGCACAGACCTCCGCCAAGGCAGCTCAATTCTGTGACTGTAAAAAATTTAAATAATTGATTGGATCCGGATGACGACCAAAATGTAATCAATTCTAAGTTACCCGATTTCTGACGTATACTGAAAATTTAATTCATTAATTAACTAATTGGATCCGGATCACCACCAATATGTAATCAATTCTAAGTTAGCCCATTTCTGACCTATCCTGAAAATTTTATGACAATCCGGCCATAACTTTTTCAGTTAGCCTGTACACAAAGAAACCCACAAACCAACAAACGCACGCCGGTGAAAACATAACCTCTTGCCAACCCCTTGGCGGAGGTAATTACCGCAGAGCGACAGCGCTCAACTGACGTGTACTGTAGCCAGGTATTCTTCTGA